TATGTGCCAGGCACCAAGCAAATCTTATAAATTCAGCAGTGAAAAGACAACCCTTGCTCTCATGGTGCTTACTGCCTAGTACAGGAGATAGATCGTAAACAAGTAAGTATGTTGACAAGACCTTTCCAGACTGTGATAATAGCTATAAAGGAAGTAGGGGATGGCAAGGGCATGCTATCTAAAATAGGGTGGTCAGGGCAGGCTCCCCTGAGGAGGTGACACTGGCACTTAGTCCTGAAGGATGAGAAACAGCCAGCCATGGACAAAACTAAGCAAGAGCATTGCAAGCAGAGAAAAAGAGCAAGTGCAAAAGCCCGGGGGCTGGAAAGCCCTTGCCATATATAAAAAGTCTGAAACATTTTATGATCCAAGCAGTGTGAAAGGAGGCATTGCTTGGTTGGCAAAATTATGACTTCAGGACTTGAGCACAGATGTTCTGATATGTAGACCCAAATCCCATAGAATGGGCATAGTATTCTTACTTAGAGGACCTAAATACTCTGTCTTTGATATAGAAATCCCTTCACAAGTGGTTCTATGTGGCATCCCCAAAGGTGGACTCTGACAGCAGCTAGACATCATCCCACCTTGAGAGAAGGGCCCCAGCTTGGTCAATCTTCCAGCACCGGCTCCACTGGGCAGCCCAACCTTTCGTGCCCTGCTGGGAAGTGTCCAGCATGGATAGAGTTGTGGCAACTAGAAAGCCTCTTTTCATGTTTGCCTAGTGATGAGAGGAAGAGATGAGATTGTTGCTTTTTCATATCTCTCCTGTGGACTCTTAAAATTAATTCTACCATCAAGATTCCCAACCCCTAAATGTGGGTTTGGGGAGAGAAACGTAAGACTTTGAAGTTGAGAAAGAAAGGAGAGAAAGCATTCTCTAGACAAGTGCTCGACAGGCAGATGTCAGAATCCGTGAGGAGAAAAGGCAAAAGGTGCTTGGGGAACAGTTTTAGGGAGAAAAAAGAACCGGGAGTAGAAATGGCTACTTCAGCTCAGGAGAAAAATAAATAAAATAATAAAAGGTAGTGTTAAAGCTTTGAAAGGAATTTTTTCATTTAGGAGAGATTATGAATAATGAAATGCAAACACTATCGTTAATATGTCGGTTAGCTGGTTTATGTTGCCTTCCGGAGAATGAGTGATGTGTTCTAAGAGGAGCAGCTTTTCAAGTCACCCCACTGGACTATCGAGGGGGGAGCTCTGAGTTTGTACCCCAGATTCCTTTACCAAACAAACACTGGATATCAGCTGCTAGATGCAAAGCCATATTCATTCCAAGGCCGCAAACTTCCTAAGCCTCTGCCGAACTCTTCACAAATGAACCTGACAACACTGAAATTTCTAAGGAGATTTACTCCAGCTGTAGCAAATCCCTAATAATAAAAAATTTCCCCAAATGAGTCAGTCACACAGGAGGTAAATGAGACATTCTGTATGAAGTCAGCATGTCATTTGGAGTGTGCCCTTTATGTAAAAAACCCAGCCAGAGGACCATGTGGTTAAGTGGGGCTTGTCCACAGGGCAGAACCAAACCAGGGGCGGTGGTAGCAAGGGAGGGGGGCTCAGCCACGAAACTGTAACTGAGTCGCCTCCCCCTCAAGCAAACCTTACAGGAAAACCCAGTTTTCCTAAGAAGTTCAAGTAAAGGCTGATTATTTGCTTCACAAAAGGATTCACCAGACGGATCCGTTACCCAACAAGCTCAGAGAGAAAATTTATAACATAATTGAATTATATGACCCTTTTTCAAAAATGCATCCCTTCTTTAGATGTGTATGTAGATATATAAGGATGAATTTGTTGCTGGCCGCATTACAAAAAAGAATATCCGTTGAGTAAATTGAGGTAGGCTTGTCACTGTGGTATTTGGTGGGTAGCTTCATCACTGATTCTGTTAATCCCCTAAATTACTCTATGCATGATTAGGCAACCAGATAAAACCTCCCACTTCTGACGAACAAGCCAGTGGGATGTCAGGGCCTCTCTTTGTCCTTCCCAGAGAAATGGCCAACACAAAGATTAGAACTATCTGGTGGTCTTTAAAAAAATTTTTTTTAAATTATTTATTGAGTGTAGGCCATATCCTTGGCACTACTCTAGGTGTTCTGACACACTGTGTCTTAGTTTGTCCTCACTCCAGTTCTGGGAGCCGGATGATGATGACGAGGATGATGGTGATGGTGATGAATTTATTTCTTTATCTGGTAAATCATGAGAGCTGGATTATTTTTCTCAATTCCTCTACTTTGAAAAAAAATTCTTAATACAAGCAACTCTATGTATTTTTTTGGCTTATTAAAGAAATGTGGGCTCCTCATAAACAATTCAGATAATAGAAGGGAACAAAGAAGAAAGTAAAAATGATCAATTATCGTACCACCCATGTATCTTGCCACTGTTAGTATTTTAATATGTAATCTTTCAGACTTTTTTCTGCATGCTTATGCAAGGAAATATATATATTTTCAACATACTTTTAAAAAATTTACTTTTTGAAGTTAATTGTATATCATGAGCATTTTTCAGTAAAAACAAAAATGCTAGACCTGCAGCACTATTTACTATAGCAACAGAATAGTCCATTTTCTAAATATACCAAAATTGATTTGCCCACCCTTTATGGTTGGACTTTCAAACACGATGCTATTTATAAACACACTATCTTCCCACTTTTCATATGCTTTTTAAAACATATGCACAAAGATTCATATATATCTTTGCACAATTGTGCAATTGTTTTCTTAGGAAAAATTCCTAGCCGTAGGATTGCTGGATTAAAGGCTATGTGCATATTAACTTTGTCACATTTTGCCAAAATGCCTTCCAAAATGTTTGAATAGATTTCATTCCCACTTATTCTGCACCTTTGCTCTCTTAGAGAAAGTCACTTCTGCTCTACACCTCATCCCCTTCGCCTCTGAAATGGGTGAGGACACAAGAAACATTTATTAAGCGCGCACTGAGTGCAGACTGTGTACTAACACTTTGTATCGATCAGATTCAGTCGTTTAAATCTCACAATAATCCCAGGAGAAAAGTTCTAATATCCCTATTTTACTTTTATCTTACCCATTTCTGAGGCTCAGAAAGTTTCAATAACTTGCCTGAGGGCACCCAGCTCAAAAGTGGCCAAGCTGGGATCCAAACCCAGCTCTGTCCGCTTCTGGGGTTGAGACTCCCGGGCCCAGGACCCCTGTTTCCCAGCGCAGGTGAGCGCGGTGTGTGATGAATGAACACAGCTGGCGCGGCCTCTCGACCCTTGCGTACACTGCTAGGGCATCACCGCTGCTCAGTGGAACGGGACTGTCCGGCAGCGCTTGCCTCAGTGTAGAAATAGCAAGGAGGGGTTTTCCAGAAGGTCTGGGGAGTTTCCCCTGAGAATGAACTAAGCACTTTTTCACTTTTTTTTTTTGGAAGTGAAGAAGCATGTTTTCAAAGTCAGCACCATCTCCTTTGCTGCAATCATAGACGTAAACAGATTCCCCCACTCCCACAGGCTTCTCAGTCTGTGGCCATCTCTCCCGAGCTCCCCAGGGAAAACTGCTGTCTTAACTTCTCCAGACTCTAAACCAGCTTCAGTGGTTCCTTTGACTGTAGGAGTCCAGCCTGTGGGGTCTACGAATGAACTAAGCCTGGTCCACTCTTTCGTATACTTCCTTTGCAGCTCTACAATTTGGAAGTGGCAGAGCAATATGGCTCCCGGGGGCTGAAGTGAGGACTCTGCAGCTCACACCAGCCCCTTCTGCAGGCAGCCGCCCCCCCAGACCCTGGGGGTGACTTGAGCCGGCTGGCACATCCCAGAGCAGGGGGCCTTCCCAACCCTCTCTTTACCTGCAAGGAAGAGATTTCTTATGTGTTGCTTTAACAGATTGATACAAAATAAATAAACAGAGATGGAAGGAGAGGGAGATGGATGGTTTCAGTAAATAATGGTACAGTGGCCAGCAATTTAAAGGGAGCTGGTGGAAAGGAAGTTTCCCACCTAAGCAGTTGTGACAGGCATATTAACTGGTAGCCCAGAAAGGGAGCACAAACACAGCACCGTGAGGATTGCCAGAGCACATACCGAAGCTGAAAAATGTGTGTCTGTCAAGATAAAACGGTGCGTTATGTGTGCACCGTCCCATGAACCTAGCCAAGGATGTCTTGGAGGTGTCTTCCCCCCACCCCGGCCAGTTTGACTCTGCTTAAACTGAGCACAGGCCTCAGCTTAGGGAGGGCAGCCCGCTCCGCCTCTTGCTGAGCTAATAGTTGTGTGTGCGTAGACACTGGGTCCCTAGGGACTCAGCCCCTGCTTTTGGAGAAAGGTTTTTATTGCCTTATCTAATATGATGCTGATTCCTTTTAAAAATGTGTGTTGACTAGACACTGCTGATGTGAACTTCGCAGAGTCATCTCGGGGAAGGAGGTGATGGGGAGCCTTCGTCACTAACAAAGAGGGGACGACCAGGGAAAAAATTGAAACGGGGGCGAGAGGGAGGCAGGAAAATAAACAACATCTCTGAGACATCCCCAGTGGGGCCTGCACGGTACATAGCCCGCTACATGTTTTCATTCCATCTCCTTCCCAGCCTTCTGGAGGAGATATTTTTGATCCGTGCCCTACAGATGGAGAAATTGATGCTCAAAGTGGTTAAGTAGCTTACAATGACACAGAGCAAAAAGGAGAGACTGAGATTCTGAGAGATCATAATGGAAATGAAAATGGTGCTACCAAAGGGGGAAAAAAATGTCTGTTTTGAGAATGAGGCTACTCTCTTACGTGGGCAGGAGATAAGGCCTTCCAGCTCATTCACTCTGTGGCTTTAACAAAGCACAGCAACTTCCTGTGTCTCTGTTTGCCAGTCTATGCAAGCAGACATAAGTGCCCTTTATTTATCTGTCTGAAACACCTGAATTGTGTAAATGAATGGAGGGAGACATGAGTCGGATTGAGACAATGGTTCTGTCTCATGTCCTTGTAGTGATCTTTTCTTGTCTGTGCCATCCCCACCCAGGTATGACTTCATTGAGATTCGGGATGGGGACAGTGAATCTGCAGACCTCCTGGGCAAGCACTGTGGGAACATCGCCCCGCCCACCATCATCTCCTCGGGCTCCATGCTCTACATCAAGTTCACCTCCGACTACGCCCGGCAGGGAGCAGGCTTCTCCCTGCGCTATGAGATCTTCAAGACAGGTCAGTGTGGTCCGAGGCAGGGGCTGGGAGTTCGGCATCATGGAGACGAAGGGCGGACAGCAGCCCGGTGGGTTGGGACAGGTGGTAAGGGTTATAGTTTCATCCAGCGGGAGCATGGCGAGAGGTTCAGGGTGAGCCTGGAGACACCCCGAGAAGAGCCAGTTCAGGTTATCATCCAACTGGAGGGGCCAGAGTGGGGGCACCAAATAAATAGAAAAACACTTTTTGAAAGAATCTGATTTTTGTGCGTTTTTAAAAATCAAAATAATCTTCATGGGAAAAAGCAAAACTCATTTGAACTTCCCACCATTTACTTCATGGTTTAATGTTGCCTTTATTTGGAATTACATGGGACTGAGGACATAATCTTTTCATTGTTTAGAGTCTCTAAAGATCTTACCATGACCCTCCAAATGAGGTCACACCGTAACTCTTAAATTAAAATAAGGCTCCTAGAAATTCCCCTTGGCGAGCCATGTTACCACTTCTACCCATTCAAACCCGATTTCCCAAGTGCCAATGAAAGTGACGCCCAGAAAAGCAGTGAGAAGACAGCAGACAGAGGGGCATGGAACACTGCACGCATGTCAAGTTGACTGCTTGATTTCCATTAGGTCCCCCTTAGATAACTTTAGTCCCAGAGAATATGCGAGCGCGCGTTTCCGTAACTGGGTACAGCAGACATTTATTCCTCCCCTCCCACGCATGGGGCTCCTTATCTCCAGGCTGAGGGAGGTGTCGCCTCCAGTTCTCCCCTCACCCCACCCCTCTCCCCACCTCCCAGGCTCCATCTACGAGCGCGTGTCTCCGCTCTCCAGCAGTCTAAGTTTTACAACTCACGGATAGAGTCTGGTTCAAGGGGAGGCTGTCAGCCTTGTCATCGAGAGGCCCGGGCCCGGCGCCTGTCGAGTTCAGTGTGAGGGGAACTATTCATATATATTTTCTTTTTCACTAAACAGTTCTTGAAAGGAAGTGGTAGCTGCTGAAAGCACTTTTTATATCCACTCTGTCTAAATATTTGTCGGATTGGTCTGCCTGAGAGCAAGAACGTGGCATCAGATGCAGGGGTGGGCCGAGGGAATTGCGTTGTGCCAGAGTGGGAGTCCGAGCTGTCACAGGGTCAAGTCCCAGGAAGGTCCGTCTGCCTCGGGTTTTCATGCTCCTGACCACGGTGAGGTCACAGGGACTGACAGTCTGTGTGTCCAGTGGCTCGGGCTGGTGTGAGGCCCCCAGACAGCTGATGCACATTCCCTTGAGCCCTGTGCAAGCTTCAGGTCAATGCCGCCAGCACTGATGGAACATCCTTTGCTGCCCAGCAGTGGGGAGAATACAAGAGAAAGGAATAAAACAGGGTGTTTGCTGTCTCCTAGTTGGAGAGACAGGTGTGTGATCCCTCAGCACATAACAGAGGCACAGTGGGTGCTGCTGGATGACTGTGTATGTGAATTGAAAGGAGAGCTATACTATGAGGTGGAATGAGTAAGTGCTAAGTGAAGGTACAATTAACGTGCTGTGGTTATGAAAACGGGGAAGCGATTGAGTGGCTCTGAAGAATCTATCAGGTAGCAAGGTCCCTAGTGCTAAAGCCGTCACTCGATTCCACTGTGCTGAGCATGAAAGGAAAACAGCTCCAAGCAAGATCCTCCAGGGAGCTGGCCCAGGGACGTCAGAGCAAGGGTGAGCAGAGCCATTAGAGCTCATCTGTGGTCTCACACCTCCATGCTTAGCATTTCGCAATTCATGATGCCACATTCTCCAGAAGGCCACGAAAAAAGTGAATGTTCACTCTATCCATTATGCAAATTTGAAAGAAGGATAGAAGGCTATTAAAAGATGAAACATGCAAGAGGGTAGCATAATTCAGCATTGCTGTCTTGAGGACATGCTGAAGAAGGATTTGGAATGAGACAGCAAGTCTGGGGACTGTCTGGGACAATGGTGCTCATCAAGGAAGCTGGGTGGCTTGGGCTTGGAGAAACAGGGCTTCCTGTGTTAAGGATCAGGGTTGCCTGTAGAAGGGATTGCCACAGTGAGAGACAGTCCTGCCAACAACAACCTCGCTCCCGGGAACGTGACAGAAGGTGAGAGCCCAGTAGCCTTCTCGGAACTGCTCACGCCTGCCGTCGCACCCATACCGAAGAGCAACTCTCAGCACAAAAGTCAGCCCCATATAAAACACAAAATTCAAAACTGAGAAGTTTAAAAAGATGAGTGTTCTTGCAGGTGTCCTGTCCTATACCTATACTCCCATTGTTGGAGTCCTGAGAGAAAATACACACAGTCTACGTCATTCACAGGACATGAAAGAAGTGGGTGGACATGCTGAAGAAATCCAAACAAACACAGCTATGCTCGCTAGTCGGATTCATAAAGAGGAAGAAGAAGGAAACTATAAACACAGATACGCAAATAGCCATACAGAGGGCTCTGGAAGCCTTCGACAGCACATTGCCCTGGCGGGGCTCTGCCGCAGAACCCACGATGTGGGCGCTGACCAGGGGCCAGTGTCTGCAGTAGAAGGTTCATGTCTGCCCTAAGTGAAACGGTTTATAAAAGATTCTATGTGTCGCCAGACTGTCCCCATATCAAAGCGTAAGCTCAAACAATTCACAAACTTCAAAGATCTCAATAATCACCAAATCCTGAACAGAACAGAAAAATAAATTTTTAAGCTTAAAAAAGTAACATCAGAAGTGAAATCAGTGGAAAATGTGTGGTGTGTGTGTGTGTGTTGTTGTTGTTTTTCCCCCTGATGCTCCTTTGACCAAAGTTCAAGATCAGGTTTTCTTCCTGTTTGCCCAGTGACATTTCTGAAACTGAAATTTCTGGAGTCATTCACAGGTAGAGAAAACCTGGAGCACCCACTACCTCTACTCCCTGAATTAAAGAACTGAATTCACCTTCTGTGGTCAAGGAAAGCTCAGCTTTGGATAAATCCGCCATGTTTTAAATATCTTCATATGTGTAGATTCTTCTTCCACTTGCGGTTATTATAAAATTCACAGAGGAAAAACACAGAGTGGGCAGTTTCATACCAGAGTCCTTTGGTATGAAATCATTCACTGTAACCAAAATCTCCAGCTTCTATGGACAATCTTAGCATTGAGTGGACTTGACTATTTGTTGCCTGAGTTACTTTTTTAACCTTTAATCCTTTTAACACATCGCAGAAAAAGATGTTGGGTTAGGTAGATATTTCCAAGAGTCAACTTTTGTTTCCTTTTCTGAGATCTCTTCTCAGCATTTGATATTCAGTTGCCTTTCTGATGCTCTGCCCGTGCTGCACACAGTGAGATGATGAAATTAAACACAAACACATGATTTTAATAGACGGGTTTGATTTTTCTACATAAAAAAAGATAAAGCTAGATGAAAGTTTTCCCACCTCATTCAAAATAAGCCAGAGGATATATCCATTTATAGCCATATATATCAGAAATGTATACTTTTTTTTTTTTTTGCCTTAAGAACCTAAGGTTGAAAAATTCTTTCCAGTTGAATGCTCAGGGCCCTGGAAACTGTGGACACTATAGACTCTCGCATGCTCCAGGTCTCTCTCAGATGCGCTAGATGTCCATCTTGGAAGCACTTGTGCCCCACCTATGAGAGGGACCAAAGAAAAATTCTGCCACAGATTCCCCACTGCTGGGGGTGGGGCTTCTCCTTGCCTTCTAAGGGAATGACAATAGCGTAGACTCTAAGAGAAATGTCAGGATGCCCTTTCTAGCTCTCAAGCATGTTGTGAATGGAGAGTTAATTTCCTCCCAGCTGTGTGCAAGGCTCAGCTAAGTGGCCCACATGAAGAAGGCTGCACAGCAGCCATAAACTCTAACCTTTTCAAAATTCCTCTTGGCCCCCTGAAGACCTGCCAGCTGGCCTGGCTTTGCTGAATTGCATCATGCCGGGCCATCGAGGAGGCCCTCAGGAGTTTGCAGCCCAACGGTAAACAAAGCTGGGGAGGCAGCTCCAGCTCAAGCCTCGCTCTGGGCCAGCCCTGCCACTGCCATGCCTCTGAAGGACCGGGTGCAGAGCACAGCGCTCAGAGCCTCCAAAGACCCATGGAAAGGTTAGCACTTGCCCTCTTGCGTCCTGGGTCCCCACCCTGCCAAGGCACAGCGCAAGGCAGAAGCGAGGAGGTGATGGATGTTCAGGTAGGGGGTGCTGGAGTTTCCTGTCTGGTGCTAAAGAAAGTTAGCCCACTTATTTGCATGACTCCTTTTCCAAGTCAGACATTTCGCTGCTTTCCAGAAAGCAACCGTCAATAAAGAGACTCGCGATGGGGCCCGCTATGGGGGTAGTGGATAAAGACATCGCTGCAGGCTAAAATCTGCGTATCGACATCACCTAGTTATATTTCAGTGCGATCCCCAGAGGACACTTCCTGCCAGTAAACACCTGGTTTATCAAGTATTTCTGTGGGTTTTTTTTCTTTCGTGCTTAGAGTTTCTATTATCTTCCTCATAAATCCTGCTTCCTTTTCTTATTTTAAAATCAGAACGTAGTGAGTGAAATCAGTTCTAAATGTCCAGCATTTGCATCCACCAAGTTAACTTGCATCAGTTCTTGCTCTACGCATATGCGTGGGTCCGTGGGTCTGGGTCCTGGGACCCATCAGTGGTGCTGCCCTGGCAAATGGTGGCTGGGTTCATGCGACTCCACCTGGAGGCATTGGGAGATAGGGTGGCCCTAATCCTCTTAGGAGCTCCTGCTGCCGTCCAAGCTTACACCAGGATGCGAATCTGGGCCGTACTTAATCAGGATGCCTCCATGCGTCCCAAGAAAACAGACACAAGAGCTCAGGAGAGAAACAAGGCTTTCCTCACCACAAAGGAACCAGAAGCCTTCCAAATGTCAGTGCACTGCTGCATTTTTCCAAACTTGCTGCCGGAGCGGCCTTTAACATCCCCAACGCCCCGCTGTGATCCACCAGCTAAAAACATCGATTGTTAATTGTCCGACCACTACAGAGCAGCTCGTTTTAATATAGTCATGACATGAATGAGACCCGAGCTCCCCTTTGCCCCTCCCCTGAGGCACCTTGGATCTTGGAGGGAGAAGGCGGCACTTAGTTGGCTGTGGTACAATAGGGGCTAGTGTTGAGGTCAGCAGTAAATAAGGGGTAACATTGTTTTCCCTGCTGGCAATCAGCAAGCCTTCCTTAAGGATTGAAATAACTTACATTTCTGGAACGAGCAGCTGAGTAATTGAGAAAGAAGACTCTGTTCCTCTTTTCAAGAGAATCTCCCTCTCTCTCTCTCACACACACACTCTTCTCTCCACTCCCACCCCCCAATTCCTCAATTGCTCCTCTCGCTCTAATACGCAGAGCAAGCCAGTTGTGCCCCCCTAATTTCTGTCCTAAAGAGGGACTGGCTTGAGGGCTTGAAACGTGCATGTGAAGAGCATGTTGCTTCAAGAGCCACTCCAGTGGAAACAAAAACCTTGCGGGTAGGGGGATTTGGGCCCAAACATTTAAATAACCCATGTGACAGAGGCAGCAAAGAAAGGCATCTTCTTCTTGATGCTACGGTTCTCTTTTACATGCAGGCTCTGAAGATTGTTCAAAAAACTTCACAAGCCCCAATGGGACGATCGAATCCCCCGGGTTTCCCGAGAAGTACCCACACAACTTGGACTGCACCTTTACCATCTTGGCCAAGCCCAAGATGGAGATCATCCTGCAGTTCCTGACCTTCGACCTGGAGCATGACCCTTTGCAGGTGGGCGAGGGGGACTGCAAGTACGACTGGCTGGACATCTGGGATGGCATTCCACATGGTGAGTGATGCCGCGTCATGAGGCGCTCCTCCGCGGCTAGGCCTTTGCCTACTAATTGCTTTAGTGGTGATAAAAAGGTAGAGCAAAGAGTTCAAAGCTCCTTAGAGTTCTTGCATGACCCACGATGACTTTCTCTTCTTTTCCTTCACCGAGGATGGTTTGAGGAAAATTACAGAAAGGCAGTCTACTTTCTTGGACATATTTCTTTGGAAAAGGATAGTATACTACGTATTAATAGGTATTTGGGAGAGGATGAGGAAGCCTATAGGTGATGTTCTTTTCCACTCCAACTTGTCAGGACAGAAAGTGACTCAGTGGCCAAGCCCTAGGACCAAATGCAAGGACTCCAGAGCCAGACTGGGCTTGAGTCTTGGCTCTGCTACTTGGCTCCACCGTGCAGCCTTGGACAAGTTATTTAACCTGTCTGTGTCTTATCTGTATAAGTTAGCTGCTATCATCATTATTATTGCTATTAATATTATTAATATAGTCATAGATGTTAAAAAGGCGCATCACCCAAGGCCAAGAGGGACCTGTACTTCTCAGGTGAAGACCAACATAAATCTCGAGTATGGCGGTATTGGTGTCCTAGAGGAAACAAATCTTTCACTTTTGTAGTCATTCTACATATTTTCCAATGGAAGGAAGACTTGGTGGCTGAGCAAGAAGACCAATTTCATTTCCTGGGAAAAGCATAAGAGTTAGTCAGAAAACTTGATTTAAGCAGTATGGACAAGAAAGTCACATGACTTCTCCAAACCTCAATTTCTTCTGTAGAGCAGGATACCTTTCCAGCCTGTCTCCCAGGGCTGTGACAACAGAATGAAGCCAGCGAAAGTGGCTTGTATTTTTTCATTAAAAAGTAAAAGTACTTTTAAATGTACAGGAAAAATATGAGACTTTATTCTTAAAACCTTTCTTTGGTTCTTTGGTTTTTATGCCAAGGCATACAGAGTGATGCTCCATTGAATGACATGCGGTGGTGGGAAGGGCGAGTGTGTTGAAAACCAAGTTTGACATTTTCGTTTCTGCTGACCTCTGTTTGTCCTGCATGTCCAGTTGGCCCCCTGATTGGCAAGTACTGTGGAACCAAAACGCCCTCTGAACTCCGTTCGTCGACAGGGATCCTCTCCCTGACCTTTCACACGGACATGGCTGTGGCCAAAGATGGCTTCTCTGCACGTTACTACCTGGTCCACCAAGAGCCGCTAGAGAGTGAGTGGGCCAATTGGGAACTTCTATCCTGTCCTTGCATCAGGGCTGTGAGGGTGTACAGGTGAAGAAAAGCTGACCTCTGCAAGAGAAGGAGATGGAAACATTACTAAATTTGTGCTTGCACTGGGGTTCAGGGAATGGGGGCTGCATCCTCTTGCCAGGCAGAGATTAATGAGAAAAGAACACAGGTCAATCTGGGTGCTCATTTCTTTAAAGAAAAAATACGCGTGTGTGTGTGTGTGTGTGTGTGTGTGTGTGTGTGTGAATATATACCGAGAATTAGTTATTCCCGGGGAAAGTCATGGGACCATCTCATGTCTCAATTTCCTCATCTATGAATGAAAGGGAAGTTAAAATGATCAGTACAGGGTCCCTCTCATGCTAAAATTTTTTGAGTCTGGGGCCATTTTTTCCCCCTGTCTAAATCTGGGGTTGTTATCTCAAAACTGAGCCATTTTAAATTTCTCTTTATATATCTTTTTTGACATTAAACATCTCTGGCCCTAGGTGGAGTTTCCCTGGCTAGACTGCTACAACTGCTTGGACTTTCCCTTCACATTCCCAATAAAGAAGTTTTTAGAGCTTCTGCAGTATGCCAGGCACTGGGCAAAGCATTATAAACTGTCACTCTGACCCTAGATGTCATGGAGATTGCGGTCTAGGCCATCAGTCTCTCAACCCCGGGCTCTGTCTTCAAGTCAGCTGCTCTTGGACATGTGCTTCAGATGTGCTGCCATTTCCACTTAGAAACCCAAACAATAACACTAAGAACTAAAGAAGCACTTTAACAATGATTACAGCCGAGTAAATCCTGCCATGGTTGTAGATAGCTCACCACGTATATAGCTACAGACATGGCAGCCTGGCCTGCAGGAAATTCTCTGGGCTTTGTTGCGGGTTAAAACCATCAAAGAGCTCGTGAAGATTGGGCAAATGGTACCAGGTCATGCAAATGGCCAGTGCAGTCACAGAGCTAAAGAATAGGTTCGATGCCTGAAAGAGATCACTGGTCCATTTCACATGCACACACAAACACACACAAACATTGATCAGTGTCTATGGTGCCCACGAGAAGGACAGCAATGTAACTGATGGCATGTGGCCAGAGTGAGTGACTTCTGGGTCTATTTGCCCAGACAGGTGGCACAGAGGAACATAAAGTGACATGAATGTGCTTATAGAGAGGTCTCTCAAAGACAGGTATTTATGCTTTGTAATGTCTATCTTCTATGCCGGAACTCACGAGACAGCCGAGTGAAAGAAGGAAGCAAAGTGCCTTCTGGGTGTTTATTAATAAAGCAGGCTTCCCACGATGCATCAGCCCACCCAAATTGCTGCGAGTTTCTCTCCCGTTTACCTGTATTGCAATCATGGTGCATCTGGTGTCTGTGAGCATCTGTAGCCTGCAGCAGTAACAGTTCTTGTGCTTTAGATTGTATTTTTAATTTGTATGATGATTCTTATTTATCCATAACCTGATTTCTTATAGGTCCAATTTAGTTTCTTTCAGACCCAGAGGGGTTGTCAAGCTCCATGATTTGGTGTAGTTGTTTTTAAAATGAGAGCATATAATTAGGGTCTTTAAGATGAGGGCATGCCTGTAAGGACTTGTCCCCAGAAGGGAGCAGTGTTGGGAGGGTCCCAGGGGCTTGAGGTTGAGAGGCCTAACTCTGCCCTTCCCCTTTGCATTCCCCAGACTTCCAGTGCAATGTCGCTCTGGGAATGGAGTCCGGCCGGATTGCTAATGAACAGATCAGTGCCTCATCTAGCTACTCCGATCGGAGGTGGACCCCTCAACAAAGCAGGCTCCATGGTGATGACAATGCCTGGACCCCCAACTTGGATTCCAACAAGGAGTATCTCCAGGTACTTGCTCAGATACCAGAGAGCGTACAGAGTGTGTACGTACTGGTGGGGCAGGGAGGTGGCTCCTCAGATAGAGGGGACAAAGGACACAAAGAAAATATACACAGCACACTTGAGAACTCCATTCATTCATTCATCTGAACAAATATGTATGCCAGCCATAAATAGACTGTGCCAGGGCCTGGGCTACATACTGGGGTCCACTGATGAGTAAGAGGGACTCTGTGCCTGCCCTCATGGAGATGACCTGGGAGAAGTTGTTTAGCTAGGATGGTGTGTGCCCTATCACCACAGATATCCAAGGAACATTCGGTAAGCAGTTCAGATCTTCCTCATTCTTGGCACAGGGAGGCATCACAGACTGGCGGGGTGGTGGGGAGGCAGCTCATTTTCCTAAAGGCAAGTTTGTTGAGGGGCTGGCTGAATGTGGCAGCTTCTCCTGATCTTTGCTATTTGGAGAGAGCCCTGCCAGGAAGGTTTTGCACATAGCTATCAGAAGAACACATGGGAAAATGTCACTACCGGGAATGCGCTGCAGCATCTTTTCAGACTATTGTTTGCTTTCTTTCTGAGTAAGACTTGCAGCCCATGTTGAGTAATCTTCCCACACTGCAGACTGGCTCCGTCCTCATCCCCTGGGAAGAAGTAAACAGGGGAAGAGCACGCTGCTAACTCCGTACTGGAGCAATGCTGCTTTTATGATACACGAAAGACAGCCTTGTGACCCGCTGACAAGCTTGTCCTGGCTCTGATGCGACACAGCGACCTCTGCTCTAAGGAGGACGTTGCAGAGCAGGCAACAGGAAAGGGAGAAAGACCACCTGGAAACCCCAGAGAGTCCACAGGGGTTCTAACAGCACAGCCCTTAGGCCATTTGTCACTGTCTCTCCTCTCTGCCTCTACAGAAACCCTCCTCATCCTGCAAAACTTTCAGAAAGTTTTCCTTTATAATTGGCATTCCATTTTTTGGTCCTTAAGCATGTACTTTCTCCTGTCACCATCCACCTTTTTCTCATACACACAGACGGCATTGCATACTTATTCAAATGTTTGATAATGTTGAGCACATATTAAGCAGCCAATAAATGCTTGCGGAATTGAATGTTACCAGTGTGTACTGGCTAAATTTTGGTCACATGGAGATTGCCATTAAGAAACACCATTGCCAGCAAAGGAATGACATCCAGCAATTTCCAAATGAGTTTGGCGTTGTGGGAGAGGAGGTCCCTCAAAATGTTGGCCATCCTCCTTGCAGAGCAAAAGGTCAGGACTTGGTGCATAAGCCTAATTGCTTGGGCAGACTCTGCATGCCCTTTGACCCCTTAGTGACCTGAGTGACTAAATACACAATGGAACAAGGGGGTGGGGACGGGAGGCAGCTATGAGCTGTGACTTTTGCAGCTAGGGCATTATAAGTGAATTGGATTGAATTGAATTGAATTGAATTGGACTGGAGTGGGGTGGATTTATTTAGCGTGTTCCTTTAAAACACCATCTGCTTTCATGATCCAAGGCAGGCCACAGTTTAGTAAGGAGAGATCATAGTTCTAGATGTTCAATGATTATTCTAAGAAAAACTGAATACTGTCTGTTCACATTTGCCAAAAAAAGAAAAAAAATCAAGTTACATTTTCAAGATGTCTGATTTAGGGTCAGATAAGTTGAGTGTAACTATCCAATGAAATTGCAGACTTATACTAATTACAAATACGTCTCAGTGAAGCACAGACACAGGATGGGAGCAAAGTCTAATGACTGTGTTCTTTGAAGAAAACGCAAGACACTGCCCTGAGTGGGGAGTGGTGGTCCCTTACTCCTGCCCTCTCTTCCTCCCCAGGTGGACCTGCGCTTCCTAACCATACTCACGGCCATTGCCACGCAGGGAGCGATTTCCAGGGAGACCCAGAACGGCTACTATGTCAAATCCTACAAGCTGGAAGTCAGTACTAATGGCGAAGACTGGATGGTGTACCGGCATGGCAAGAACCACAAGGTAAATCCAGGTCCCCACTTCAAAGGCTGGGCTGGTTTCTGGGACAAGAGGAGCTTCAAGCCAACCCCACACAGGGGAGAGGGCCTGTGTAGTGAGGCTCAAATAATTGATGGAGGATGCTGGCCCTGAAAATCTTCTTTCTTACACTAAAGTGATTGGAAAACACCATTTCTGCGACAGCCTGGCTGCTGTCGCATCCTGCCCAGCAGAGAGAGAGAGCTTGCAGGGTGTTCTCTGACTTCAAATGAAGGAGGAAACGCATTCCCTGCCCGTGTCTCCCCACACAGGATTCACTGAGCATTTATGGCCTGAGTCCCTTCCACATGCTGGGTTAACAATCACAAAACCACATGAAACTACAGTTCAGGAGTTACCGAGGTCTGGAAATGAAAGGGCACAAATCCTGAGAGGGAATCACAATGTCCCAGAGAAGAAAAGAGGACAATAAATAACGAGGGGAAATTCGATTTGTCGGGGATGGGATCTGAACCGGCAATCATGCTTCACAGCGAGGCATTGAATTCTCTTGGCCGGGGCCTCGGTGTGCTCGGCTCCCGGAGGTGTGGTCCGCGTGGGTGATGCGGGGCTTTTGTTGTATACATATGGATGAATGTCTGGCACTCGGCTTTCCTAAGACACATGGCATTCCGGGTCGGCAGCTGGCGCTGGCGATGTACTGGTTGTGCGGCACACTCAGCGTATGGGGGTCTCGCCTGGGTGGGAGGGGGGTGGGTCTGTGATGGGGGCACAGGCCGAGGTGGCCCCTGCAGACAGTGGAGAGGAGCTGGCTCTCAGGTCTGACAGGAGAGTACGATGCAGGATCCCCAGAGGCTGCTTATCCTTCTCTAGAAGAAAAATAGGGAGGGAGGAGGGTCTCTCTGTAGCGGTGCAGTTCCACCAGGCCCTGGCCTGTTGGGGTGGGAATTAGCAAAATGGGGTGCATTTGGGCAAGCCTAGAGAGGCCACAGATCTTTTACAAGGGGAACCTCCTCAGCCCCTGTCACTGCCCCAAGGTAGTTTGCTTTTGCTGGTACAGCTGGAAGGCTTGGACCTAGAAAATCCTCAACTATAATGTTGGCAGTCTCCCTTGGGAAATGTGAGTTTTTAAAGGAGTGGTTTTTTTAAAAATCAAAATCGCCATAGTAACATGGCACCATTCATCTGAAAATCATGCTTCTAGATATTACCAGGTATCTCTCTCTCTCTCTCACACATACACACACACACACACAAAATTACTCCATTTCCCCAAAAAAGAAAGCCAGGCACTTAGCAATCGAAATACATCCCACCTTGACATGTCCGGCCAGGTCTGGCCTCCCATTGACTCGGTCTCGGGAAGAACTGCCAAATGGCAAGCCCCACGGGCACTGGATGCTGGGAGCGCCGGGGGCCAACTTCTCATCACACCCGACCCATTTCAGTAAGAAACTGGAAGCTCTGCTAGCAGGCGAGGCAGGTCCCAGGCGAGAGGCAAGAGGCTCACCTGACTGTCTCCTTGTCCAGGCACAATGACTAAGCAGCAGTGGCCAAGGGGATACTGTAGCATAAGCTGATTTTAAAAGCACACAGATGGACTGGGATGCCATTTAAAACACCATTTGTAGTAAATCTGCTTTTGGAAATACCTTAGCACTGCACATTTTGATAGAATGCTGTCCTCCCTGGCTTTATCCCTGGTATTCATTCTGCAGGGAAGATATTCCTGAGAATTGAATTTAGCTTTCTGGTCTTCAGAATCATTCTTCTCAACTTTTTCATAGTGGATATTCTCTCTCTCTCTCTCTCTCTCTTCTGCCTCCTCTTCCGACCCTTGGCTAAATTTCTTTCCCCAGTAGCCAAGGGGTAACTTGGGGTTTTGTTTTTGTTTTAGTGAATCAGTCCTGCCCAAATAAAGGAATCTGGGGCAGAGGAAAAGCCCTTTCTCTCCCCATTAGAAATTCATCCTTTGGGTACTTAGCAGCAGACAGGAGAATGGAAAGCCTGCCAATTAGGCACTGCCCCGCTCCCCAGGCCCCCTCGCCCCACTGCGGGTGTGGTGGGCAGCCGGGGGACTTCCTCCTCTCCCCTGCAGGAGTGATCTGGCTGCCCCTTCATTAGGCAATCCTTTTCCCAGATATCTGTAGTTAATGTGCAGATTCCGCCCAGTGCATGGTGCGTCAGGACAGCTTTCTGGGCTGTTGAGTTGAAATCGTTGCATGAACCGTGCCAAATAGATTTGTCAAGTCTGCTGCAGTTTGATTTGATGCCACGAGGGGCAGGTGGGGTGAGTAGGGAACTTGGGGGCAGTTGGGGGAGAGGTTTCGTCCACACCGAGTGCTACCACTGAGTTTCTTTGCAGCCGTTGTATGATGGCACTGTGCCAAGCTAGCGGGTGCTCAGTGGTGGGCTTGAAAGTGAAATCCGAACAACAGGACCTAGTGGAACAGCAAAGCAGAGATGAAGGCAGCAGCCTGCTCTGCTTTGTGGTGGTGCAGGGGGAGGGTTTGCAAACGCCTTCCCAGTGCGCAGGGAGGGAAGTGGGGATTGTGGCATTTGGGGCAGAAATGTGGGAACTTGATTTCAATTCCCTGGTCACTGTCAACACCAATGCAGTGTACCAAAGACCAGGGAATTGGGGAAATCAGAGAAAAGCAAGATTAATGAGCACTCAAGGTGGTGGGGGATGGCTGTGCTGTGTCTTTGCAAAACATTGTCTACAGTTTGGACCCAGGCTGGGCTGAGGCAAGGCCTATGAAGGAATGATTTCCTCTTGCTGCCAGGAGGTGAGGAAGACTAAGGAACTCTTTTCCAGCCTTCCCCACACAGTGAGCAGCCTCTTCTTAGTTTCTTTCCATCCAACAGGTAATCATGAGGTTGCCTATGAGAAAGCCTCCTCCTGGCCCAAAGCAGCCTGGTTACACGGACCACAAGCACAGCACATCGCCAAATCCGTATCCAACTCCACATGCCGTAAATATGGAACCTATGATTTTCACATGGGGCGGGCCCTCCTTGTGCATATTTATGGCTTAACCACAAGGCAGAGAGCTCGTCTGCCTGATGGAACCCATATTCAACCCTTGAGCTCCTTTAGATTATACAAATTGCTTCACATACATTTCTTCAGAAACCACAAGCAGAAACTACTGCCATCTCTTCCTGGCTGGATTAGTAACACCCCAGACACAGACATAGCATTGCCAATGCAATAGTAGAAGGTTCACACATGTGTACGTAATTATAGGGACAGTTAGGTACACACACACACACACACACACACACACACACACCACGAGAGGTGTGTGGAGCTCAAAATCACAAGGCCTTGGCCACAGTCCTGTCCTCTGAGAAGCTGATTCCACGAGTCAGCCCTGGAAGGGTCGGCTGCACCTGAGGAACGGAGCAATGACTGGTGTCAGGACAGGACGGAGACCATCGCCCTAACGTATCTAAGCAAAAGCCCTTATCTTCAATTCTGCCTCATTTGGTAAATGTGGGCGTCTCTCTTGTTAACCAGAGCAACTCTCCGAATTAACTCTGGTTAACTTGCTCTTAGTCACAGCGTTGCTGGGCTGTGCTGATGTATATGGAAGAAATCTGGGCTAAAAGAGAGTCTGTGGGGGTGCCAAATACGCTCTGATGGTCAGAGGGAGGATGGAAGGGTGGAAACAGTGCTGAGATAAGGCTTGGGTCCAAGAGTTTTCAGAATTACCCTCTAATAAGTGGCAGAAGTGGCAGGAATGCACTAAGCTCATCGTATTAATGTAACAATGACCTCCAAGGGACTCAGAAAAGCCTCAGGCAGAGGCTTATTTGCTTCAGAATTTCACAGTGTTTCGCAGACTGTAGAACTGAAGCTCTCAGAGACTAAGTAACTTGCCCCAGGGACTGGGGAACCGTGGAGTCCCCATGAAAGGAGCCCGGTCTGCAGGCTTAGATTTCCAGGCTGGTACTCACAACAGTCTGACCTCGGACTTGCTCCCCATCTTGCATCCAGAGGGAAATTGGCTTGAGGTGTGCATTTTCCTGGAGAGCCTCCGCTCCAGGGGAGGTCTGAACGCAAGAGGGCTTGGGCTCCGCCACAGAACTGTGAGGATAGAGAGTTGAAAGAAGTTGCTATTTGTTTGATTTGGCCACATCCTTTCAAAACAAATAAACACCCCACTTCAAAAATCCTCTATCCTATATTTATTTTCTAAATTAAAACAAATCATTTTTAAATCAGAGACTTGAGAGGAGAGAGAGAGAGTGGTGTCAGAAGACCAAACCCCCAAATCAGTTGCCTAACAGAAGCACGTGACATCTATTTTCAGATCTTCCTAGACGATGTACCGCGTGACCTTGCAGATTTCTCTTTGCAGCTCCATGCCTCAGTATTCCCACCACCAAATGGAATGGGGCCGCAGCTTCTGCAGGCAAAGCACATTGGGATCTGTAGATGGAAGGCTCTCTGCAGATATAATTAATGTATTAGACCCACAAAGCTCTTCTCGAGTAGAAGCAAGTTACCAATTTAAAAAGTAACAAGGTCCCATGGGATATTTATCAGCCTCTTTTAAAATCATAGGTCCAGAATGGACTGTGATAAGTCATGCAGGCCTTTTCCTGCAACCGCTGGGGCCTGCACTTGGACGGCCTGGGATACATGCTCTCCATCCTAGCCTCGTTCTTCTGCTAAGGATGCAGTGATTCCTCCAGCTGATCGTTTGGGTTTGCAAAAGAAACTTTTTTTTTTTTAACCTCCTAGTGGGTGACTGGCTTCTCCTTCTTCCTTTTGTGGTAGTAATTTTGTTTGTCATGTATAAGATTAGGACAATGCCTCAAATTGTCCTGAGCACCAGCCTCCAGAAGTCCTGGATACAGTGGCATCCTCTAACCATGGGTAGGTGTGCTCTGAAGAGGGCCGAAACCCTTTCCAAGTTCAAGTCCCTCAGTCTATCTGCTCCCTCAGTTATAACTGAGGAGAATCCAGTGCCCGAGGTAATTAAGTTTGTCCCTTATCCATTTGCCATAGGATG